GATCTGGAGGGTGACGGACAAGGGAGGGCTCTGGAAGGCCGCCTGGGTCCGCAGTGTGATGTGAGCTGTGGGGTGCGGAGCGGACCACGCAGCACTGAAGGGAGTCTGGGGGGGCCCCGGTGGTGTGCGACGGGGTGCGCGGGAGAAGGGAGGGCGCCGGGAAGCCCAGGACATCACCCACAGGCCGGAGAGGCACTGGAGAGAGCAGCCACAGGCCAGGCTTGCTTTCAGCAGATTAAGAAGCGAAGACAAGCCCAGCGTCGCCCGCATGCCTGGGGGCCTAGGTGGGCGGCCTGGCCCGGGGCCCCTGCAGAAGGGCCATGGGGAAGAGAAAGAAGTACAGACGAGGAGAGCAAGGGGAGGGGCAGATCTTAGAAATATTCAGGGGTAAAATTAATACTATTTTCTGACCAACCGGCTTACACATTCCAGTGTCGAACGAAAATAGTTTAGGGATTAACTACTCAAGGAGAAGTTCATTATCTACTTTCAAGTGACCCACCTCATTTCTCGGTTGCATTGCGGTGGCGCCCGGAGCTCCCCTGCCCCCAGGCACCCCACTTCACACCGTCTCCCCGAGCCCCCAGCCCTGGCCTGTGGACAGGCCGGGACGGTGCCCCCGAGAAGCCCTCATCAGCACGCGGCACCAGCGGCCTCGGGTCAAGCACGTGCGGGTGTCCGATCTGGCGCCTGACCCCGGGGTTGCCAGTTTACGCCCGAGTAGCTCCGAGGGTGCATGGACGATACGGTTTTTAGACAACACGCTCGTGTTCCTTCTCTTCCAAATAAAGTCTTCCCAAGAGTGGAAAAGAGATGGAACTAGCGAGAGAGGTGAGCTCACATAAGCACATTCATGTTCTCCTGGGAAATAAAGAATAAAGCCATTCACCGCCAAGCGTGATATCGCTCCCTCACTTCCCCTCGGTGATGAAAGGCGTCAGCACAGGTAGTTTCAAATTAAAACTCGGCTGGAGCAGCCAGGCCGGACACGGGTTTCTGCAGAGCGGGGAGAGGAGGCGACAGGATGCTGTTGACTCACATTTGCCTACGATTAAAACTTGCCAGGTCTCATCTGTCCTCTCCTCCACCTGTGATTCTGCTCACCGAGGAGGCAGACTTCTGCGTCCACGTCACAGGTGACAGGACATAGCGCGGTCCAGCGAGCCCTCCTCCCACATGGCCTGCACACACCGGCACAAGGCCAGCGAGCAGAGCGGCTCAGAGGCCCTGTGATCATGCGTCACGCAGCGGCCACGGCGCCGGGATCTGTCCTGGAAGTGGTGACCACAGCCTGCCAGGCCAGCCCACGGGCAGGAGGCAGGTCGTGTTACTTACAGAAACAGCTGGGTCCTGGCCGACCCAGATTAGAACCTCCAGGGTCCACCCCGCACTCCCACAAAACACTCAGGTTTCGTAAAGTAACAGAACATAGGGACATGGGGCCCAGAATCAGTTTCTATGAGATGAAAGCTACTGAACTAATCGAGGCGTGCACTGGGCACGCCTTCCCGCTGGTTCTGAGTCCTGTCACCAGACAGCCGTGATGGAAATTTTCTTCAGCTGTCAGTGGGGGCTGTTTTATCTTTCTTTTCAAATCCTTCAAAGTAGTAGTATTAAAGATGTCTTTTCATTGTCCTTTAGGATGAGTGTGGTGACTTTTAGGGTGTCTCTATCACAACAGCACCTTTGAGAAACCTGCCCGATAGAACCTTGATGGCGGAAAAGTTACTTTCCAATCTTGCTGAATAGAGCGCTCCCAGAGGAATATAAAGACTCTGCCTGGGCCAAAGGAGGATGAGGAGAATGAAAAGATGGAGTTGTAAGGGAGAAGGATCTGAGGGCTTCATCCACCAAGGGTCACGGGGCCTCACAAGTCAGTGCGGGAGGCCCAGACACCTGCCGTCCCCCCCAAGCACGTCCTGACAACGATACAGGCACCTCCCTCTTCGTGGGAGTTTCGCTTTTATCTTTAGTTCATTCAGATCACCATTCCTGGTGTTAGAAAACGGGGAAGAATGAACAACAGCGGTTCACCTCGCCCCTTTCCTTCTTCAGATGACGCATGCATGTTTTAGGGTTCACTTTGACTTGTACAGAAGGTGAGATCTTACCCTTCGGCCCAGACACAGCCACGGGGAAATTAACAATCACGATGAACCAGCTAACTTTTGGCCTGTGAACATGCTGGTGGTCGGGGGAGGTGAGCCTTAGGGTTACTTAAGTGGTGGTAGCTGCGGGGGGAGTTGACCGGTCATGGGAGGGGTGGCCTGCGAGGGGTGGCCTGCGTATAGACAGAGCAGACCTGGCCTCAGGACCCTTGTGTGCCTGGAGGATGGGGAGAGGGGAGGGGGGAGAGGCTAAAGCCCAGGCCTGTGGCTGTTTCAACCTGGTAATGACTTCTCGGTGGAGAAGAGACAGTCTGAGGGCTGTCTCCTAATAAAGTTAGCAGGAAAAGCCACAACTCTACTTTAATGACCAGAGTTAAGCCTGTAAGACAGAGGTCGCGGTGGGAGCCAACCAAGCTGAAAGACTGCTGTTAGGATTTGCAAGGCGCTCTCCTGCCCCAACGTTTTTGAAAAAGTGATTCACCCCATATTTTTAGGAATGATTACTGGGGGTGGATTTCTTCACCTGAAGATGCTTGACATTATTCAGTACCTTCCTCAAAAGGCTTTCTTGCCCTTTAAGCCAACAGCGAAAACTTTGGACCGGCAAGAAGTCTAACAACACCTCCATGCTAGAAGACCAGACAGTAAAACACGGGCTGTCTCCTCTGCTTCCAGGCTGCTTTACTTTCTGTTTCACTTGTTGCAAAAGCTATTTGTACCCAGTGGCCACCCACATAAGTGGATTCCCTTACTTTTCTTAAGAGGAAGAGAACTTCTTGTCAATGATCTCAAAGCTTCCATACACGATCCATTCCCATCAACGCTCAGATTCGAAAAGGAAATAGATAAGATAGCCCCAAGACCCAAAGGAGAGTCTACCTTCTCCCAACGTCCATTGCACCTGTCTTTATAGCTGCTATTTCCTTCCACCTGCACTAACACCTTGTTTTGCATGCATTAGCTAGCATTTGACTTAAAGAACTAGCCACCCTCCTTCCCTGGACAAACCCTGACCACATGCCTCCTTGGGAACCTAGCAAGGAACTTCGGTGGTGGCGGGGGGAAGCGTGGGTCGTGGCCTCAGTGATGAATGAATGACAGACTTTTCTTCTCACACCTTGTGGGTTTCTTCTCTCACTAGTAACCTAACATCTAATCTGCATAGAAAACTACCACCTAGAAACAGCTTACCCATCAACATGGTCCTTAGCATTTGCAGTTCAAGAAGCAAAATAAAAGAATCAAATCAAATGAAAAACTTCTTCCTCAAGCCCTCAAAAGTGCCTGCAGCACTGGCAAGAGCAGAGAAGTTTTTTGTTTGTTTTTTTACAAAGAATGAAAATGTGCCTGTAATGAAGCTGTGTCAAGGCAGATCAAAATAGACTCATGGCTATGTGTCTGAAATCACCGAAGAGCCTTGCAGGTTTGTGGAAGAACTGGCCACTTCCTCTCCTCCAGCTCACTCTTGGTATCAGGACTGGGGGCTTGGGGGCGGGGGGCTGAAAAGAGGGGTTCTAGTCAGAGAGGAAGGAAGGTGTTCAAGCCCTGTGCTCTGTGAAACCTGGAGTTACCTAAACACCCATGCAGACAGGGGTTATGCACACATGTGTTCAAGGTTAGCTTAGGTTGTAGGTGTGTTTTAAAATACACTGTCAGGAGCGTGAAGGATACAGCAAGCACAGCTGTGACTGACTCTTCAAGTACAAACTGAACTTGGACTTCCTTGGCAAATCTGGCTTTCCATGAAAGAAGCAAGCAAGGAGCCTTACTGCCAAAACAGTCCAACATCCTATGTCACCAGATTTGGCAATGAAAAGATGCTTATTTTATGTAGGTTTTACATTCTTGGAAATGGCCACAAGACATGTTCAAAGCAACACTGGCCCAGTGTGGCTGGTTTTGGAGAAAAGACAGTAAGACTATAGAATATGAAGTAGCAACCGCAGCTACAAGCAATCAGGGCTTAGAATGATCTGGTCTGGTGTGTGGTTTCCAACAGAATCTGCGCTTCCGTTACCTCGGGTTTAGGCAGAGGATTAATTCTCGCAGAATGAAAGCAAGTAAACAATCCCTGGTGTGTGCACACCGTTCAGGCAAATGGTCACAAACAGGGAGGAGGAAGCGGGCCCTAGGATCATCCTCCTCTGGCATTTCCTCCAGGATTTCATCCCGGGCGCCGAGTCACAGCCCAGCCACCCGGCCTATTTCCAAAGGGACCCGGCTCCTTCGGAAACGCTCCCTCGCCTCTTTCCCGAGCCTTCGTTCCACGCTTGTCTGTCCTTCCTGTCCACATGCACACACGCCCTGCAGCCTCCATGCCACCTACAGCGACATGTGTGGAGCCCACGCCGGATCACGGGGGGGGCTTGCAAGCCGCAGACACACCACAGCCCGCAGATCGCATTCAAGGAGCGCCAACAGTTCTCCGCGAGCACCCCAGCCGAGCCGGCCGGATGCCGGGCTGCGCCCACACTCCAGCCCTCCAGAACGGGGCAGGGAACCTGTTCCCATGTCAGGCGGGGGGAGGGGCGGTTTAAATACCCACTAGGAGATCTGGTGCCAGCGCTGGAGCCTGGCAGCCGGGTACGGCGGGCGACGCGGGACGCAGGCTCTCCACAAAGCGGAGGCTGCTGCTGCACCAGCTTGCAGTCTTTTACCCTCCTGCAGCCCCGGCGCCCGGCGCGCGCCCCTCCCGGATTTTACCTAACTAATCGCTCTGCAACCCCATATTGCGAGGGCCTGCTGTGGATCTTGCGGAGGTACAAAATGGTGGCTGGGAGCTAATTTCGCCCCCTGCTCTCCCCCTAAGTTATCGCTTCCATCACCGCCCGTCCCCCCAGCTCTGCACCCGCAGCGGAGCGGGCCTGGGGGCAGGAGACCGCGGGGACCAACCTGATGTCACGTAGCCCCGCGAAGCCTGGGGCGCGAAGGCCGCGGGGAAGCGCTTGTGCAGGCGGTAGTCCTTCTCGCTGCGGGACCTCAAGCGGTCCGAGGCCCGGTCCGAGAAATCCGAGCTAGGCCAGGCTCGCCGCAAGGTTGTGCTCCGGGTCTTCTTCATGGTGGGGAGGGCGACCTGCGCCCCGATCCTGGGGCCTCAGCGCCGGGGCGCAGCGCGCTGCTTCATCCGTCTAGGGCGGGCACGACCCTGGCGGGCGCTGCGCACATTTTCCCAGCCCCTCCTCGTCGGCGTCTACACCGCCAGCGGCGGGTCCGGCCCTCCCCACGCCCCCACACCCCCCCACGGCGAAGGCTCCGATTTTACACACGTCCCACAATGCATTACACTTCATTTGCAATCCGCCGGCTTATAGCTTCCAGATTCCTGGGGGGAAAGGCACGTTAGGAGGCTCCCCGGCCGGCCGGGAGGAGGCGGGGA